GTAGACCTGGCTAGCCTTTAATTTGAGGTCTGTTTGTCTCAGCTTCCCAAGTACTGGAAGTACTTGGTACACACCACCACGTCAGGCTGCATTGATAGTATTTTGGTGTCTAATAGGTCAAAAAAAGAGCTTTTTTGGTAATAAATGCATCTGTTGTATTTAACACTTTCATGTGCTAGCCAATAAAGTAAACTAGCTTTCTGCTCTCTCTCATTTAATTAAATGAATTATAGTTATAATGACTGTGTGGGTTCCATGCAATAGATGGAAAAGGTTTTAGTGTAAGACTGCTGTCCTAGATTAGATGTCAATAAAGCAAAACCTGAGATGGGAATTCCTGCATTAGGGACATCATTTCCTGAAATGGGGCTGCATGAGACATGAGTATTGCCATGATGGACAAGGATAAAGAGGGGAAGAAATGAGTAAGTATGGTTTTAGGAGAAATCTGACCTCATGAGGAGTCCTAGGCATAAGTAGTATTGCCATGATTGTTCTGCTCAGAGGTAAGGAGGCTGTTCACTATCACCCCCACTTTCTAGCCCATGTCAGTCAAATGTTAGTCACACATTACCCCCAGGAAAAGGGGTAAGGCAACTCCTGCTAGCTAAGGGAAAACCTCCAGAAACCAGCTCAGGGTGAATCATTAGCAGCCAACCCTTGTGCAAATGGCGGTGGGAGCTCCATTTGGCAAATGATCTAGATGGGCCACTGGTAACAAAGGGTATAGTCACACCGCTGGAGAGACTATGGTGAACAGCTCAAAACTCTCTTAACCACTATGTACTGAGCCCATAGGTTTACCTACTTTATCTCATTGGCTTTTCCCCACAGCAGAGTGAAGAATCAGCCTATTTTTACCAAAAAGGAAATTAAGGGTCTGAGGTTTTTAACCAAAGGCCACATGGCCAATAATTGGATTCATACCCAGGTCTTCTGGATCTACTTGCTTTCTTTTCCTTTACCTAACTGGTGAATTTAAGCAAAAGGGTATAAAGGTGTTAATATCACGGTGAACTGAATAGCCAGAACTATTTTTTGCATTAACCTTTCAGTCAAGCAACTAAATAAAATGATGTTTTAAGCCTTGGTTCTCTTCCCTTGTTTTCCATTGGGAGAGCCCTGTCTGGCCTTTAGCTCAAGCTGAGATTTCCCCAATGAACAATGGCAGTAGGAGCGTGTTTTAGTATATCCTTGATGCGTCAAATCCCAGCTACCAAGGTGACCTTGGCATCCCCCAACTGTCTAATCTTACATCCTAGATGCCTATAATTTTCTTAACAGGCTCTTTCACCTTGATTGACATTTGTGCTTTACTTCTTCCCCTCCTTACCCACAATTGGATGGACTGAAAAGCATCAGAAAGAGCCAGACATAGTGGTACACACATGTAATCCCAGCCTTCAATCCCAGAACTCAGGAGGCTAAGGCAAGAGGATCATTAATTTGAGGCCATCTTGGGTTATGAAGTGAGACATTGTATCAAAAATTTAAAAGACATAAGAAGTACCACAGTTAGGACATTAGAGAAAAAGTTTAATTGAAATAAGCAATGGCTACGTCATCTCAGGCAAACCCTTTAATCTCTGAGTTTGAGGCTCCCCTCTGCAAAATTATGTTCCATTTCCTACTTCTCAGAATTGTTATGTTGGTTAGAAGCAACATATTTAAAATGCCAAGCACTTAGCAGGTGTGCAATAAATGATAGTTACTTTTATGCAACAGACATACCTGCACAGGAGCCAAAGACACGCTGGTGCCTGCTAAGTAAGGTTCCAACATCTCTGTCTTGGAGAGCAGCTGTCAAGGCCATGAGTGCCTGATGAGTAGCGACTGCTCAATGTCTCTAACCTATTCAGCACACCTGCAAGACAAGTCTCCCCTGTCTGACTCCTCATGCTGTCCTTATCCAGAATGTCCTCCTCTGGTGACCTCATTGTCTTCCAAGTTCTGGCTCCATGGCAATTCTTCCACAAAGCCTTCCTATAAAAGGACAGTGTCTCTGTGGTCCACAAGTGAAGTGACTCTGGTCACTATGTGACCTTTGGGAAGGTTCTTCATTTTTTATTACTTCTGTGAAAGAGTATCATGGGAGAAGTCCATGCCCACATTCCCCATTACCTGACAACTATTCTCTCAGAGTAAGCAACATTTCTTTCTTCCAAAAAAAAAAAAAAAGACTTGCAGGCAGAACAACCTCGTGTACCTGTGTTTCTTCCTTTCTGTAATGGAGCTAGTTGATTCTTTGCAGGGATCTGACTGGACTCCTGTCCTGCCCAGTTGGTACAAGCTCAAGGTCATTTCTCTTGCCTTCTAAGCCTCTCCTTGCTTCTTAATAGTTAATGATTATTATCTCCCATTGCATTTTCTTTTTATAGTCTTGAAGAACTAAATGCTCATAAAAATATAATCTTAATGAATGCTGGTGACCTCTTATCCCCACCTCTGTAAGCAACAGGCATACAGGGCTTTTGCCTCTTCTGCCCTACATTTCCTCTTGACTGAGCAACAGTTTTCCAGGCTGGAAGAAAAAAGCAGCCTGTGCTCAGAGGTGCCTCATAATTTTCCTAAACTAGCTAATTTCCAGGCTGTGAGTGGACAGTATTAGCAGGATTTCAGCATTACCTGATTCCTGGAAGAAGGGAGGGCAGGTACTGTCCTGACTCAGGAACATCAAGTGAGGCACATGTCCTAAACCTACAGCTGAGGTTTGGCCCCCCTGCTTTCAGATGTCTTGGGATAAATCCCACCCAGAGGCCTTCACAATGACCATGGGCCTAGGCTGGGGCAGGAGCCTTATGCCCTCTGGTTGGTGACTGTCTCTTTGTTAATAGGATTTGTATGAGGTATGTTCAAGAGAGATCAAAAGACATTTGGCTCTTGATTCACCACATTTTCGCCCTCTCAGTACAGGTCTGGGTCTATTGTAGCATCCTCTGAGTATGACCGTGCTCAAATAAGACCTAAGTACTGGGGGCAAGGTCTGAAGTGGTGTCCTCTTACTCTTAGGACCTTTCTAATGGCTGGCCGGGGTTGTACCAAAAATGAATGAATAGGTGCTGGGACTCTTGACCCTTTACCTATGATATACATGCATGGATATTCCCTGAGTCAAGACTCTGTACACCCACATCAACAATTAATTAGAATTTCAAACCCTGATCATTCTACACTGGGCCACCCCTGCCAACAGCTATACCAGCTCTAGCAGCTTTGATCATATCCCTAGTGCTAGTGTTGTCTTCCTGCATCCTTTCCTTGCACCCTGACTGTACAAGTGGGACATCAACCATACCTTTTCCACCTTTTCCATTAGGACACAGGCATTCATTGGTGGTTTGCCAAGGGCATCTCTTGGGTATTGCAGATTCTTATTGGAGATTTCTTTCAGTCACCATATTTCTGGGAAGCCTTTGAAACTTGTGTTAACCTTTCTGGGCCCTCTCATTCTTCAGCTCTTAAATGCATGTGATAAAAGCGAGATTCAATGGAGTGCTGCAGAGGAAAACACTTTGCATTTTGCAAAGTACTGCATCCACAGGATGTCTGCTATAAATATTTCTGCTCCTCCCTCTGGATGAATGACAATCTTAATGGCTTCTGAAGAGGAAAGCCTTCTTTCTGCTGTCTCTGCATGACCTGGGGTGGGGTGTGGGGCATGCTAAGGTCAGGTCAGGCTAGAGCTGTCACACCAAGGTGACTCACTTCCCTGATAATGCTGCTGAGAAAAATGCAGACTCCTTCTTACCCTTCCTCTAACTCAGGCACACCCCTAGAGCAGAAGATATTGACACCAGGGGAGAAATGTCAAGTCAAGTCAGGAAGAACTGCCTCTGAATCTAAGCTTTTCATTTTGAGTTCAGAAATAACTGGGTAGAAACAAGCAAACAATTAAACACATGACCGGCTCTTTAGCGGTAAGTGGAGTCCAGGCTCTACATAGTCAAGGTGACCATGAACAAGATCTTTATATTCTTGAGCCCATTTTCTCGTCTTTGTACTAGCCAACCTAATTCCTTCATCCCAAGGTTGCTTGGGAAATTTCACTGAGTCCTTAGGTGTAGAAGACAATCAATAATGCCTATTTTCTCCTCTTCTTAAGAACAAATGGTATCAGGAAATGGTTTTATTTTGTTTGCTTGTATTTTCTCTCGAATTCTAGCAATGCAGCTGTTCTAGGCAGAAGTGAAACTCCTGCTTCTTGGGGCAGGTGCAGGGGTTCCATGGTCTGAACTCAGCACTGTCCCTTTCACATCTGAACTTCAACCCTTGGGAGTTGGTCCTTCACATTCAGGACTCCAAACTTGGAGTTTGTTTTGAAACACATTTATGTCTCAATATCAGATTTATATCCATAAACGCACAATGACCTTTGAGGGAAAAGAACCTCCAAGAGTAAGCAAAACGCTACTCCTTTGTTTCAACCTTTCACACGTTCTACAGGATGGATTCACACACAGATTCTGTAATTTTTTTTTCCACTCTAAATGGTTTTCTGGTGGTCAGTTGCCACCTGGGACAAAATACAATGTCCCAAGACCATTCTGAAAGCCAAGAGTTTAATCCTATTTTTTGTAGGTTTTGCCCATTGCTGAGATCAGAAGAATATACAAATATTCTGGATCACAGGGAACCTCTTGCCAATTATTACCTGGCTCTCCATCCTCAGTGCTGCCTTGTCCACCTGGACTTGACATAGGGCTAAAACCCACATCCAGGCTGATGGGGAATGAGTGAAACTTCCATTTCCAAAAACAGGGAATCTCAGTGAAGACAAGTCTTATAATGCACGTGAGAAATAAATCTGATGACCACAGTGAGACATTAAAAATTAAAAAATCAATGCAGAAGAGGGGAGGAACCATAGTAGCCAAGAAAAAACATATTTTTTTAAGTAACAAAATATAGATTCTGCAATGAGTGCAATACAGGTAACTATTTTAAGTTCGGGGCAAGTTAATTATATTTAAAAAAAAAAAAAAAAAAGACAGCATCTCCAGAAAAATCTTTCTTTTTTTTTTCAGTGAAATAGTTTAGTTCCTTCATATAGAGACATATTACACAATGTTAACAACCATGAAAAACAATACAAAATGCCCTCCATTTAACAAGTAGAAAAATATAACTAGTATATATGGCAATTGTGAATCTAACACTGTACAGGAGTAATTTATGGATTTTACAAATAAATTATAGCTTAAATGCCTTTTTAAAATTCTTTCCCCCCCCTAGATGTACACCAGAAGTTACAATAGGAAAAGTTCCGATCCTAGCTTATTGTAAATCAGTGCCAGTCAAATGTTCTGCCGACGAGCTCAAAGAATTTCCTATTTGGCTCGTGAAAATATTCATGCAGTTTACTGAGTAGCTTGGGATCGACTTGGGGATGCGCCCGGCCTTTGGACTCGTGTAAGCAGCGGTCCCGGCCACTGTCCCGCAGGCAGTAAAAGCCCTTGGTCTTGTTAAAGTAGAAGTTCGAGGCGTTGATCTGGGGAGACAGCTTGAGGAACCGCTCGACCTTCTGGATCTCGGGGAAAGGGTCCCTGATGAGGCGGTCGCCGTCCACGATGTGGATGTGACGCAGCGGGAAGAAGCGCAGCCAGTTCTGCATGTGTACGTGGTAGAGGCTGCGGTTGAGCGCCTTGTACTCCACGTTGAGCCGGCCGTCGCGCACCAGGAACTCCTCGATGGACGGATAGGGCTTGTGCTTCTGCAGGTGGTTGTAGAACACTTGGGTGTAGTCGGACAGCACGCGCTCCGACGGGTCTCGCAGAATGAGCAGCAGCCGGATGGAGGGGTTCATGCTGTGGACTCTCTCAGGCACTTTGGACGACGTGAAGTAAGCAGGGGTCTTCTCCACCGTGAGCTGGTGCGGGGAGGAGAAGGGCATCTGGCTGAGGTACCAGCCCAGGCCGTGGCTGTAATGCTCCTCCCAGTCGAAGAAGTGGACCTCGTTTTCTGCGGCCGCCACGTCGGGATGCAGGCTGAGCATCTCCAGCAGCGCGCGGGTGCCTCCCTTGCGCACCCCAATGATGATGGTCTGGGGCAGCTGCTGGGCGGAGCCATTCGTGGCAGTGCCTTCTCGGATGTCATCCTGGAGGGTCCCCACCTTTCGCAGGAGCTCCTGCTGGCTGGGCTCGGCCCCAAGGGCGGCAGGGCGAGAAGGCACGAGCTGGGGCTGCGCCACCAGCAGCACCGCGCCCAGGAGCAGCATGGCCATGCTGGACACCACCATGGCTTCACTGGGCCACTGGCTGCTGAGTCATGAAGTACCCGCCTCAGCAAGGACTGTCTTTCAATTAGTGGCACATGGGTGTTGCCGATTACTGGGGAGGAAAAGGGGAGAATATTAACCAAAAATAAACGCAGAGGTAATCCAGTAGACGTCTGTTGTCTGGGCACTGTGTTCACCTCCCTGGGACTCTCTTCCTTTCTTTGCTCTACAAAGCAAGGGGTGGCAAGGATTCTCTGCAAAGGGTGAAAAAAATAAATATTTTAGGTTGGGGGGGAGCTTATGGTCTTCATGGCAACTCCATTTCCAACTGTGCTATTACAGAGCTGAAGCAGCCAGAGACAATGGTCAAAGTCCTGGGTGTGGTTGTGCTACAAGCAAACTTTATTTAGGACACTGAAATTTGAATTTCACATAATTTTTACTTTTTGTTTATGTCATGCTTTTTGTTTCCTTCAACCATTTATATGATTTGTTCTTTAGCCACACAAAAACAGAGCCAGACTTGCCCATCAGGCATGAACATCGCTTGCCAACCCTGCTATCCTGAAAACAGTGGAAAAGGCCTTTGGCATCACAGACAAGAATGAAATGACTGCTGGCAACTTCTGCAGAAGGGTAGGTGGTATAGAAGCAGGCATTTCTGCACCCACTTCTTCTGTGGGGGACTCTTAATCTAACAGGGCAGGTGAACCTGTGGGGAAGATGCAATGATTAGCACCAATTCTCCACCCTATATCCAACTCTGGTGGTGGCCTCACTGTGGGGGCTTGCTTCCCAGCAACTTGACTAGAGCTGGCAAATAGTGGGCAGGCAGAGGTAACAATGTGCCAGACTCAGCCATGCCTCATGAAGCCTTGGCCCCTGCCCTTTTGCTCTCACCATGAGAAGAATGTGTACTGCCAGCCCCGGTATCAGGGGGACCTGAGTCACCCACAAGTCCACTGTGTACAGCGCCATCATCGTGGGTGGTGAGCAAGAACAAGAGCTCACGGCTGTAATCACTGAGTTTTGGAGTGGCTTGTACTGCAGCATGAATTTAATACGTTTTAAAATAATCTTTTGGCAGTACTGGGGTTTGAATTTGGGGCTTGTGCTTTCTAGGCGGGTTGTTTCACCACTTGAGCCATACTCCCAAGCCCTTTTTGCTTTACCTATTTTTTAGATAAGGTCTCATGCTTTTTTGTCTGGGGCCAGCCTCAGAGGTGATCCTTTTACCTATGTCTCCTGTGCAGGTGTACTGCAGGTATGTACCACCGTGCCCACTTTATTTGTTGAGATGGGGTCTCACTAAAGTTTTGCTCAAGCTGGCCTTGAACCTCCACCCTCCCAATCTCTGCTTCCTGAATAGCTGGGATTAGATACATGAGCCATGACACCAGGCCACAGGCAAATGCTAATTGATGCCACTTGACTATAGGTGGCAGGGTGATAAATACTATGATTATGCTTCGGTATTATGAGGCATATTTTCACTCATTTGCCTGAAACAATTGAAAAGTTTTGACAGTAGAGGAAATGTTTGAAGTGGTCCCAGAGGGATCAAAAGGATGAGGGTACCCGAAGAGCAGAAAGTCTGTGCACAGAGTTTTTCTATTTATAAAGTGACTCACTATTGGCTTCATTGATTGTCACCACAACCCTACAGTACAGGGTAGGAAGGCAGGACATTTATTACCACTACTCTATAGATGACAGTCTTGTCTAAGAACATAAAAATGCCTAAGAGCCCAAACTGAAAACTTTAAATGTGAAGCCATATCCACAAACTGTTTCCTTCTACCAAACTTCTCTTCCCTATCTGAGAAGCATTACGTTTAGACAACAATGCCCATCAAGGATACAGGCACCATTGCCGAGATGCCAGAGCCTCCAAAGGTGGCAGGTCATGGCAATGCTCTCAAGGAGTGACACACAATGACCAAAAGGAGGAGAATGGAAGCTGTCATTTAAGTCATTCCTGCTTAAATACATCAAGGGAAAGGGTGAAGACAGGCCCATGCTTTACCAAGCCAGTGAAAATGGTCTCCATTAAGAGGATCCATCACCATCTTTATAACAGGGATAAAATTCACTTCACTTGTTTAAAGCTTGTCCAGAATGTATGAATAAAAAATAGAATCCAGGGCTTCCATTTTTATGATCAAGCCCGTTGATCTGCCTCCTTCAGATACCGCGTTATCTGCTTTCAAAAATGTACATTAAAAGCCAGGCACCAGTGGCTTATGATTATAATCCTAGCCAGGTGGGAGGCTGAAATCAGAAGGACCATTGGCAAATAGTTTGTGAGACCCCCATCTCCAAAGTAACTAGAGAAAAATGGATTGGAGATATGGCTCATATGGTAGAGTGCCTGCTTTGTAAGTGCAAAGCCCTGAGTTCAAACCCCAGTTCCACCAAGGGAAAAAAAAAAAGGACACTAAAAAGTGAGATGTTAACCAGGTGAAAGTCTTTTAGAGAAGGACAGGACACTGGGCAAAGACAGTTGAGAGATCCATGGTGAAACTCCTTAGGGGAAAAAGATGGTAGCGGGGAATGGCCAAGCAAGATGTGGTTTAAGGCAGTTCTGCTGGAACTAAGTAGTTATTTGCTTCAGTCACTGGAAAGTTTCAAAATATTTATGTCTAACTTCATTTCCTTCTCAATTGATCATGTGGGTAGAACACATGGACCAGCCGCAGTCGCCTTTACACATCTGGCTGGAGTGGGGTGTGTATGTGCACACTGCATGTGCATGTGTCTTCGTGTGCACATAGGCATACATACGTGTGTACATGTGTGGCTGGGGGGGAAGGGTGAAGTGAGGGAGGCAGTGACTCCTACACACCAAGGAGCTGTGTTCGGTGTTGGGGGCACAGACTCGCGAGACTATAACCCATCCAAATTGTTCAATACCTGCTCAACAATGGCAGAGGCCAGATCTGAAATTTGTCTTGTCTGGCTGTTTATGCTCTTTCCACTCTAACATGAGGCATTTTGGTTAACTCAGGATACATCTGAGATTTCTTCCTAAAGGGGAATTACCAGAAGACTGCAGAGAAGAAACTAAATATAGTTTGTCTTTTATTAAAAAAAAAAAAAACAGGCAGTAAGCAGTTCAAATGCTCCTTGTTTCTACTTTAATACTTTCTAAAAATGAATTTACTTATGTCTAGACCTTTTTCATTCCAAAAATATTTGAGGTACATGGGGAGAAATCAGCTAAAGTCTATATACACATGCCATAAGCACATATATATAGTATTTATACATATTTCTGTAGTTATAATGTATATACCAAGCATGGGACTGTGTGTGTATGTGTATACATGTACACACATATGTATAGAAAATATACATGGCATATTAATATGAGTAATGAACTATGATATGTCATATAATATGTAGATACACAAACTAACCATTGAGAGCCAACTTTTTCTTGTGGGGGGTTGATAATTTGAATTTCCCAGTGGCATAGCCAAAAACACACCCAAGTTCAGACGAACTTGTCAGGCACACCTGGGCCATACTGACCTTGACAATGGAATTTCAAGCATCAGAGCAAAAGAGAGCCATTTGTCCTTGTCTTTCACTTCACACGTGAAAAGACCCTGAGACGACTTGCCCATAGCCACACAGACTATCTGGGCCTGATCTTTTGTCTCCTAAAAGCCAATCCTGTCGCTTGGCTGCTCTTACTGCTATCTCCCAATGTAAGACAATGTCAGTGTGAGGGGTAGCAAAGACTAAAGACCCAACAAAATTGCTCAGGAGTGACAATTTCTCAGCTGACAATTACAGAAGCAGTTTATACACAGGGTGCATCCATGTGTCAAACCCATTCATTTGTTCTGTTCAGTAGATAGGTCAGAAGGAACTGCACAGGCTGTGGGGTCAGGAGTCCTACCTGCAGTTTTGCCCATAGTCAAAATGCCTTTAAGCTGAGTGCCGGTGGCTCACACCTGTAATCCTAGTTATTCAGGAGACAGATCAGGAGGATCATGGTTTGAAGCTAGTCAGGACAAATAGCTTATGAGACCCTATCTCGAAAAAATCCATCACAAAAAAGAACTGATGGAATGGTTCAAGGTGTAGGCCCTGAGTTCAAACCCCAGTACTGCAAAAACCAAACAAAAATGCCTTTGCCTTTCAGTTTCATTTTGATGATTTGCAAAATGGAAACATTTCCACTTGCCTTAAATGGCTACATCAAGCCTGAAATGAGGTACTAGCGTATTTGGGTTGTACAACAGAAAAATGTGAACCACATTAAAAAATAAGTAATAAGTTTTATGTAACCCAATTTTTCAAAATGTTTTTGTTCCAACGTATATACACATAAAATTAATGATACGTTTTACATTGTTTTGACCTATGCCAGTGTGTGTATCCTTACAGCACCTGCCCAGGCCCTAGGGGTGACAAAGGTGGACAGCACATTTGGAGAGCATGGAGCACAGCTGCGATTCTTCATCTGAAAACTCCCTGGTGTGGAAAGCTCTCCCTTTATTGTGGGATTTCTCCCCTCTCACAGACAAGGCAAGTTTGAACTTGCAGGCAGCACAAATACATTCAATTATTCTCCCTGAAGATAAGTTCATTTATTCTTCCACAAGAAAATGAACAAGGTTATCTTGAACACATGGCTTTCTGGGAGTTGAGAGCAGTCAAGTGCGGGAATATAGGATGCTCCACAGCACCTGAGTTGGAAGTCACACCCTTTGGCAAGAGCTACCACTACAGATCCCATCTGCACAACTTGTCCTGCACAGGTTCTGGGCTGGTGGCTTTGTGCACAGACGCTTGCAGTCTTCACTGCAAATCCTCAAGAGAACTGCCATTGCTGCAGAAAGCGAGGCTCAGAGGAAAGCAGTGGCTTGTCTAGAAGCTGGGAGTGAGGCTGGGATTTAAATGCAGTTTGAGCAGGGAAAACCAAGGCTGTTGCTATCACTTTTGCTTCTTGGCAAGACCTGAGGTTAGTGTGCAGTAGTTTTCAGCCCCTCAGTTTGATACCTAACCAAGAACCATGATCATGTGTGACTGATCATTGGTTGCTGGGTCCCTTGGTTTGATTCTTTAGTCCTGTTGAACATTCATGCCTGTCTCTGATTCTTGGCCAGAGACAGAATTTCTCTGAAGGCCCAGACTTGCTAGGATGGGCAAAATGAACCTTCCTACATTTTGTAGATGGGTTAATAGGTCCTAGAGTGAGAGTCAGTCACCTCACTGTTTACTTCCCTTTATCAG